AACTCCAGGTCCAGAACCATGATATATACTATGGAATGAATAAAATATGTCATAATGTATTAGAGGAGTAAGTGGTGGAAGTTGTTGTTGCTGGGTTTATAAGGGCCATTGAGAGAAGCTGTACATATTAGTGGTGGTGGTGGAGGCAGCAGCAGAAGCCACCAACTATTCACACTTAAACTATGTATGTAATTTATAAATAAAAAAGATTTACATTTTAATTTATAAATAAGTAAGTTTATTAAGGTATATACAAATACAGTTACATTATCATATATAGCAGCATATGTGTAAAGTACCTAGGATAACCCCAAAAACGTCAGAGTGACGTATTTCCATTGGGGTCTTTTTATATTTACACTTATATTTACTTTTATACTTACACTTTTATATTTACATTTACTTACCTGGAGAGAGTTCCGGAGGTCAATGCCCCCGCGGCCCGGTCTGTGACCAGGCCTCCTGGTGGATCAGAGCCTGATCAACCAGGCTGTTACTGTTGGCTGCACGCAAATCAACGTATGAGCCACAGCCCGGCTGGTCAGGACCCGACTTTAGGTGCTTGTCCAGTGCCAGCTTGAAGACTGCCAGGGGTCTGTTGATAATCCCCCTTATGTATGCTGGGAGGCAGTTGAACAGTCTCAGGCCCCTGACTTATTGTATGGTCTCTTAACATGCTAGTGACACCCATGCTTTTCATTGGGAGGATGTTGCATCGTTTGCCAAGTCTTTTGCTTTCGTAGTGAGTGATTTTCGTGTGCAAGTTTGGTACTAGTCCCTCTAAGATTTTCCAGGTGTATATAATCATGTATCTCTCCCGCCTGCATTCCAGGGAATACAGGTTCAGGAACCTCAAGCGCTCCCAGTAATTGAGGTGTTTTATCTCCGTTATGCGTGCTGTGAAGGTTCTCTGTACATTTTCTAGGTCAGCAATTTCACCTGCCTTGAAAGGTGCTGTTAGTGTGCAGCAATATTCCAGCCTAGATAGAACAAGTGACCTGAAGAGTGTCATCATGGGCTTGGCATCCCTAGTTTTGAAGGTTCTCATTATCCATCCTGTCATTTTTCTAGCAGATGCTATTGATACAGTGTCATGGTCCTTGAAGGTGAGATCCTCCGACATGATCACTCCCAGGTCTTTGACGTTGGTGTTTCACTCTATTTTGTGGCCAGAATTTGTTTTGTACTCTGATGACGATTTAATTTCCTCGTGTTTGCCATATCTGAGTAATTGAAATTTCTCATCATTAAACTTCACATTGTTTTCTGCAACCCACTGAAAGATTTGGTTGATGTCTGCCTGGAGCCTTGCAGTGTCTGCAATGGAAGACACTGTCATGCAGATTCGGGTGTCATCTGCAAAGGAAGACATGGTGCTGTGGCTGACATCCTTGTCTATGTCAGATATGAGGATGAGGAACAAGATAGGAGCAAGTACTGTGCCTTGTGGAACAGAGCTTTTCACCGTAGCTGCCTCGGACTTTACTCTATTGACTACTACTCTCTGTGTTCTGTTAGTGAGGAAATTATAGATCCATCGACCGACTTTTCCCGTTATTCCTTTAGCACGCATTTTGTGCGCTATTATGCCATGGTCACACTTGTCGAAGGAGAGGGGAGGAGATGTTAGTTTAATTAGTTATCTTGATGGAGGAGATGCTGGCAGAGGTTTAGGATAGTGGAAGATAGCAGGGCGGCGTATGTTCAGTGGCCCTAAACACATCCAACAACATTAGAGTTACTTTTGTGTCGTTTTTCTATCCCTTAATTGTACATATCGTAGAATCACTGAAGGCACATTTTCCCTCTCTCTTCCTCCTCCACTTTAGTACTTTGTTACAAGTTTTTTCTTGAATTCTATTGTTTCTTTCCTTCTTTGCCAGTGGACTGGCACTAGGAGCTTTCTTTTGGCCTATGGTGGCTTATTAGCAGTTGCAAGCACAAAAAACAATGTATTATGAAATGTATCGTATAAACCTGTGGGGTGATGGTCACTCGCTGGTAAACAATGGCACACTGAGTGTGAATGGTGTGGTAGACTAGCTTTATGCACACTGACGGTGGATGCGTACCAGATGGTCACTGAATTATGAGTCCAATCACGAACCGCGAAGCTAAATTTTGGTTAAAATGCTTGCCGAAAGTCGGATTTCATGAAAGTCATGGCTGACGAAACGCGGGGGTCCACTGTAACTAGGTACAGAGACTGGAAAGGACAAATGTCCAGGAAGGATTAGGGAAAGAGAGGTTAAGGGAGATTTACCCTTTGGGGATGTTTTTGACTTTGGAGAAGTAGAGGAGTAAAGGGGAGGTGTTGTTGTGCAAGGTCTTGTAGACATAGAAACTTGCGAGCGAGAAGATGAAGATTTGAGAACAGTATGAGGTGATGAGGCAGGGACCTCAGAGTCTAGGTGTGGAAGGTGTGACCACAGGGGAAGACTGCAGGAATTGAGACCCCAGAGGTTGGAGGCCTCTTAGTAAATCTAGAATAAGAAATATGGAGAAGTCTCCAGTGGAGGAATAGATGAGAGACCACCATGGCGTAAGTAAAGCCTTCTGTCTCTGAGCCAGCAGATTTCGCGCTCATTTAGGTAAACTTGGCAATGACGAGAATAAGATAGGTGAGCTTCATTACAAATAAGGCAAGAGGGAGGTAGACTACAAGATGTACTGGTATGGTCGTCGGCACCACAGACTGGGCATTCTGCCATGGACCTGCAATATGCTGCTGGATGGCCAAAATGCCAGCAATTTCTACACTGTTGTGGTGTAGGGATAAATTTTCAGACTTGTAACTTGTGTCCCGTAATATAAACTGAGGACAGAAGCTCACGGCAGTCAAAAGTTAAGCGAGCTACAATGAAGGGGAAGCGTCTCTGCCTATGGCCAGGTAGTACAGGTGTGTCCACTTTAAGAATTGGGAGGTCTTGGAGCTCAAGTTATTCCAGAATGCCATCACCACATATCTGGAAATCATGCTGAACAATGTATGAGGTAGAACGATGGTACCATTACAAGAATTGAGAGGAATGTGTTTTTGAATTGTTACAGAAATATCGTCTATGGTGGTAAAGAAAGTTTGTGAACTTGGCTAGCATTTGTACCGTGACAATGCGTGCACCACTCTTGAGAGCATGAAATGAAATATTTCTACCGACATGGCATGAAGCACCTTGCTGATACTATGATCAGAAAGGTAGTCAGTGGAAGATGTCAGTTGCAGAGAGAAAAACTTAGTCAACTGTGTACTATGATGCATAGTATGTAATGGGAGTGTGTGTTGCATTGGTCTTTTCTGAGTAGAGTGATAGGCATTCAAAGCAGTGTCATCAGAGAAAGGTCATGGGCATTTAGATGCAGGACCAGAGGTGGTCCATTCTGAGGTGGGCAGGCGACTTGAAAACCGTCACACCATATGGGCAGAAGCCGGAAACATGGTCAAAGATGTGCTGAAGTCGGATGTGACAGAGGAGTCAGGCCAAGCCTCGGTATCAGGAGCGCGTGACAATGTCGCCCACAGAAGATACAGGGGCATTAGAAAGGTCCAAAGGACTGTCCAGTAACACGGCAGGGTCGTAAGAGGGTGCCGCTGCAGAAAGGGGACCAGGAGCAGCAGTTTCATGGATTTGGGACTCCATGGTTAGGTTTCTCCTTTTTTTTTTTTTTTTTTTTTTTTTTTTAGAACATGGAGGCGTAGCTTCTAGGAGGAATGAAAGGGCCGTAAATCTCCCTCTGTGCCCAAGAGGACCTCAGCGCAGCATGTATAGTGCAGGTGTGGCATGGAACCTGTGCCATACCCTACCCTTCATGCCAGTAAACCAGCAATCTGGGATAGCAACCTCACATCTACTAAGCCACCTCGGCAGACAAAAGAGAGGGCTGTCGGATACTCCCCACAAAGCATACTTTCTTCGGCCACCAACTCCTGGAATCCAACAGGCAGCCTCCAGAGATACATCCATCATCTGAAAGACACTCAAAGCCTCCCCCCACAGTAGCTTGGAGAGGGATCAGGATCTCCAGACAATCCAGATCCCACGGCAAACAACACTACCACCAAAGACCTCACCAGAATGGTATGGACCATGCTACCCTTCCCCCCAACCTGGGAACTAGAATGCCTGAGGGAAGGACCCCAAAGACTGAAAATAAGGAAAAGGGGGAGGAATGGGGAGAGGAGGAAGAGAAATGGGAAAGGCAGGACAGGGAGGATGGGACAGGGAAGGGGAGGATTAGGGGGTAATTAGGGTTAGTCGGAGGAAGAAGACTGAAGGGTTCAATTCCTCAGACCAATAGCATCTTTGCCTCTGCAAGGAGCCCCCCTTGAAGAGGGGTTAACCATAGAATTGACGAAGGAAAACAGATGAGTGAATGCCGAAGACAGTATCCAAATTGCTCCAACATCAAAAAGCCCTAATTCTGATGATAATGTATCAAAAATGAAACATCATTGCTCCAAAACCTTAAGTGAAAATGCTATCAATGAAATTCTTTAGTTCTTTAATGAGATTTTTATTAAATTTGTCTATTATTATTTTTTATTTCATGCAGTTTATTATTCATTTTATTATTTTGTTAATTTTGTGTGTAATTTTTCAAGTTGCTCTATCACATATAATATATACTTTTCAGTTTGTATGACTATTCTCCATACAAATGGATTCAATAAACTATTTTGAATTTGAATCCTCCTTGTGTTTTTCTGGATTCTGTGGACTTTCAAGTCTAGTGGGTAATATCGCAGTACACAAGTTTGTTTTGGCGTAATACCCAAAAAAGTTTGCAGACCCCTGCACTAATATGATAAGTTCAACTGTAAAAAATACTGTTCTACACTACAGTATTTAAGGTGACAAGGTTATGGAGGCAAGACATTTAAAATTTACTAGTTCCTGTAATTAAATGCTGCATGTATGGTTCACCAATAGCAATCATACAGTTAACTATGTGCATACATCCATGATATTTAACCTAAAATATAGGCAATACAAACAAAACCATTTACTTCTGATAGTTAAATTTAACACAGTTACACAGAATATTAAATTCACTGAGAATGAACATATCATAGTTGTATTACAAATGAATTATTTGAGCTTACAGAGAACAATTTTTTTTCAAAGTAACTGCAATGTTGTTATATGTTGGTTTACCATTATGGTTCAAGAGGTTACTTTATACTTTTCTCCTTCCTTTTGAAAAATAAATCAACTTTTACTAAAAAGCATAACGTATTTTCCTGCACATAAGGAACACGAGCATATAAGACAATGTTTCCAAGCAGTTGTAGCAATGTTAGTAAAGAACTGCTACAGTGTAACCCAAAGCCTACCCTTGACCCTGACCTTGAGCATGTAAGATGCAGGCTGATTTTCCAAGACTTTTTGTGGATTAAAAGCCCACCTTATATGCTGTAAAATATGGTTTGAATTTGTAAGCCAAGTTCAAAAAAATACTATTTCCATAAAGCTATACAGTGATTAGCAGGTAATTTCAATTTGCTTGGGTTATTACTTTTTTTCATTAATTTGTCATTACGGAGTACCTCATAAATACGAACAAAACTAAGATTTGTCTTCTCTGCTCATTACACTGGGACTGGTTGTTGTCAAGTAATGTATTAAGTATAGGGAGAACTTCAGAAAAATTCAATTCCTTCTCACTAAAGTCTGGCCACCCCTGATCTATGAGAACTTGTGTTAACACACTGAAGGTACAATAATCACTATCTACCATGGCTCTAATTATGTAGGTAAGCAAGAACTGTCTGCAAAAAGACCTCGCACTGAACAGTTATATCAAGTGTACATGTTGCAGTACCCACTTTAAATGCTTGCCCTGAAAAGGGCCAATATTATAACTGCTTGGTAATTGCTTAACAGTATCAGTATTTGAGCTTAATAAATACATTATGTATGATGGGCCATTACCAGCTGCAATTTTATCTACTAGAATATCCTTAATACTCATTACACTACTGCCCAACTGTTTCCCAGCACATTATTCTATGGGAGGTAACAACATACTACAATATGTAAAAATAAGTGGACTCACTACTGCAAATTAACAAGATGGAAAAAAATAATCCTGTACTAAAGTATTCCCTAAATTTGATGATACTCTGATAAATAATTCTATTACTACAATATTTCATAATAATAAATGTCTATTGCAGACACACTGTAATTATAACATTAAGACTTGCATACACCTTGTGTTCTTAGCATGTTTAAGAATGTTGGTTAAATATAACAACATATCTTTGCAAAAAATAAAGTATAACAAAAACAGCCTTTTTACAGTCATCACAGCATATATACTGTACAGCTAATACTATATATAGAAATAAATAATATTTAATTATGGATGGAAAGTACAGTAAAACCTATACCAGAGTACATGCAAGTTGAAAATATGCAACTAAAATGCCATATTAAGGTACACTAATAGTACTCATATATTGTTGTTCCCTTTACAAGGACAGTATCAAACATAATTTTAAATATGTTTGCATGGTCAAATTTATATTTGAGAAACCATATGAATTAAATACCCATTCAAGCAATGCATCTTTACGAATATACCATTTTAAAAGTGACTATGTGCAACACACACTGTAATGTCATATAGTTGCAAGTTCATCATTTTCTATGAATGTGTATGATGCTGTATGACCATTATGGGTTTAGCACTTCCTCATCAATACAATAACAACTTCCATAAATACAATAATATTCACTTCACTATTAACCCACATTCAGAGGGTAAATATTAGTTGATGTTTTGGTTCACCTTTGATCATTGTTAAGTGCCATTTAGTTACCTCTCTAAACTGTGGATTAATAATGAAGTATTTCAGCTGTACTATAGTGACTTGTATTCTTCAATAATATTCCCTTGTAAATCATGATACATCCATAACTAAACTGAAATATCTGGGAAATATAATTCTCTCATTTTCGAATTAATACTGTGACTATTTTTTTTTAACAAGGACAAATTAATAATTTAAATTTTTATATATAATCTGCACCTATTAATTTGTAAATACATTTGTACATACTGTAACTGAAGTTAAGAAAACCTCCACATCTTGAAATACTTCTCATAAATAATAATACAGTAAACCCTTGATTTAAGAGACTTGGGAAATTCAGGACAAAATCTGATAGATCGACAGATTCAGTAAAAATGGACAAGGTGTGATGGTTAAAGAAATGTCTGCTGTAATCACAGGACAATAATTTCATCTGCATCCACCACAAACACCATTACCATCCACCCACTTCCCATATTAGTCCATTAAATAGAGGGTTCATATGTATTCCATTTAAAAATAACCTAGAAAATAAAATATTCTCACTTTGAAAACAGTCACTAATTTAAAGAAAATAAGAATTATTCTCTTTTTTCAGGGTGTCATTGACTGTGCTTTGCTTGTTTATTAGAGACTGTACCTTCGCTAGACTGCAAAGATCTGTCCTTATCACTCTGTAATACTTCACCATTTGTTTCTTTTGGAAGTTCAGTTGTAGTATCAACTTTAGAAGAATAATCAAAGTCAGCTACAGTTGTTCTAAGAGCATGCTGAATGAGTTTAGCAGACTCTAACTGCTCCTCCTTGGCCAACATCTCTATAACATCTTCAAACATCTTTGGAGATACACCCACTTCCTCATCCAACATGAGGTTCAACACATGCAGAACGTGATCCACTTCCACTGATCCATCATTGTCAAAGTCCATCTTTGCCAAAACATCACTAATCATGGACACCTTAGAAGTATCAGGAGCATGGTATATGTAGCTCAAATGTCGAGTTAATTCCTCCAGGTTCACAAGTTCAGCCCTGGTGTTAAAAGAAAATTTTATTATAGCTAAGTATAATAAACATAACATACAACTGCCTCTAAATTTATTCATATCTTGAGAAGATATACAAAAGTTGATTTAGCAAGAAAATACAAGTGTACACTTAAATCAGTATCAACCTTATATATTTATTTCAAAATGTAGCATGTTTATATTTATTTATACTCCAGTAATCAGTAATTTGTAAGACCCTCTCCTTCCCTCATGCTTTGATAATATGGAGAAGCAGCAGACTGCAGCCTTCTAAAAGATTTATTAACTTCACAATTACTACAATCATCATCTCCAGGTATAGCATTTTTTTTAGTTCACACTACATGTTTTTTTTATCTGAAATATGGAGACTAATGGCCGAAGTTTTTTTTTTTTTTTTAACAAGTCGGCCGTCTCCCACCGAAGCAGGGTGACCCAAAAAGAAAAAAAATCCCCAAAAAGAAAATACTTTCATCATCATTCAACACTTTCACCTCACTCACACATAATCACCGTTTTTGCAGAGGTGCTCAGAATACAACGGTTTAGAAGCATATACGTACGTATAAAGATACACAACATAACCCTCCCAACCGCCAATATCCCAAACCCCTCCTTTAAAGTGCAGGCATTGTACTTTCCATTTCTAGGACTCAAGTCTGGCTATATAAAAATAACCAGTTTCCTTGAATCCCTTCACTAAATATTACCCTGCTCACACTCCAAGAGCTTGCCAGGTACCAAATACCATTCCTCTCCATTCACTCCTATCTAACACGCTCATGCATGCTTGCTGGAAGTCCAAGCTCCTCACCCACAAAACCTCCTTTACCCCCTCCCTCCAATCTTTTTGAGGACAACCTCTAACCCGCCTTCCTTCCCCTACAGATTTATACGCTCTCCATGTCATTCTACTTTGATCCATTCTCTCTAAATGACCAAACCACCTCAACAACTCCTCTTCAGCCCTCTGACTAATACTTTTATTAACTCCACACCTTCTCCTAATTTCCACACTCTGAATTTTCTGCATAACATTTACACCACACATTGCCCTTAGACAGGACATCTCCACTGCCTCCAACTGTTTCCTCGGTGCAGCATTTACAACCCAAGCTTCATACCCATATAAGAGTGTTGGTACCACTATACTTTCATACATTCCCTTCTTTGCCTCCATAGATAACGTTTTTTTGTCTGCACATATACAGTGGACCCCTGAGTTTCGGCAGCATTGACTTTCGTGAAATTCAACTTTCGGCAAGTTTTTTTGGCAAAATTTGGCCTCGAGTTTCGTGATTAGACTCGTGATTTGGCTACCGTCCGGTACCCGTCCGCCCGTCACCGCGCACATAAAGCCAGTCTCCCACGCTATTCACATCAGTGTGCCATTGTTTACCAACGTGTGGCCATCACCCCGCGGGTTCATACGTAATAATCCATTGTTTTTTGTGATTGCAACTGTTAAATAACTCACCATGGGCCCAAGGAAAGCTAGTGCAAGCCCTTTGGTAAAGAAAGCGAAGAACACAATCCAGAGGGATTTTGAAGGATTTGAGGCAGACCCTGACCCTGCCGACCCTCTGCCTGTTGTGGAAGGTGTTGTGGCATTGGGCAAGTCCATGGGGTTGGAGGTGAGTGATGGGGATGTGGAAGAGTTGGTGGAGGACCACAGGGAAGAGCTAACCACTGACGAACTGCAAGAGCTTCAACTGGAACAGCATCAGACCACAGCTGCAGAACTTGCTTCAGAGGAGGAGCAAAGGAGAATGAAGGAGGTGCCTTCTTTGGTGATTAACCCTTTGAGGGTCGACAGGCCCTCTCTGAAACTCGTTCTCAGGGTCGGCCAAATTTAAAAAAAAAAAAAATAATTTTCTCTTACGAAAAGATAGAGAATCTTTTCCCGATCATAAGGACACCAAAAGTTTGAAATTTGATGGAAAACTTACAGAATTATGCTCTCGCGAAGTTAGCGGTCTCGGCGATGTTTACGCATCGGCGATTTTGCCCACTTTGAGCCCCATTTTCGGCCAATTCCACTGTACTAGTCGACAAAAAACATGAATATTTCGCTAGAACTCCATTTTTTCTATCGAATGGGTGCAAGAAACCACCCATTTATGAAATTCAACTATCCAGTACAGTGGTCAGAATTTAGCAATTTTGCCAATTTCACACAAATTTCAAAAGATGCCAATTTCCGAATAGGGTCCAAAATAAACAAGAAAGACATTCCTGGTACTAAAATGACATTTCCTCTGGTCATTAGTCACGTCTCAAGGCCCCTCTTATATTCTTATGCTTTCCACTTTGAATTTTTAATCTCACAAAAAATATAAGATTTACTGTTATGCAGACTACTGCATTAGTGTAAAAAATGGTATAAATATTATTGGGGCACTTGTGAAAGAATATTAGACTCACCAGTTGACGTGTATTGGACGCTTGGCACGATTTGTTTACTTTTGAAATTCGAACATTTCTGCTACTTTGAGCTCAATTTTCAAGGTACCTTTCATTGTAAAACCAGTCAAAATCATCTCAATTTCTGTAATATGTCTTCCATTCTATAAAATGAGACCAAGAAAACTAGAATACAACAATAAATACCATACGAAAATACAGTGCAAAGTCGCTGTTTTATTCCAAAAAAACAAAGTTTTTTTTTCTCATTATGCACTGTGCTGCAAAATTTTTTTTAGACTGTGCACACTGACCACATAGACCCATTCTTTCATATGAAGGCCTACCAGCTTTCTCCCACTAGATTTGAGGGCGCTAGAATTTAGGCGTACTAGTACGTCAAAAACCCTGGGTTGTAAGCCGTACTAGTACGTCCGAAACCCTCAAATTGTTAAGGACGTGTTCAAAGTGGAATGAGTTGCAAAATTTTGTTGAAAAGTAACACCCTGACCAAGCTGAAAAAAGCCATATCTGCAACATGTTCAGTGACAAAACCTTCTCCCACTTCAGGCAAATCATAAAGAAATGCCAGAAACAGACCTCTCTGGACAGATATTTTGTGCGACAGGGGTCCAGTGACTCTCAAGTTGTTCCCAATGGCATTAAAAGAAGAAGGGAAGTAACCCCAGAAAAGGACTTGCTACTTGAAGTCCTAATCGAAGGAGATTCTCCTTCCAAACAGTAGTGTACACCTTCCTCCTATCCCCTCCTCCCGTCTTCCATCCACCCAGAAGTCTTCAGTAAAGGTAAGTGTAATGTTATTATTATTTTTTATATGCATGTACTTGATTTCTGATTGTTTTCAGTATGTAAATCTTTATTTAATTTGAAAAAAAAAAAAAAAAAAATTTAATATTTTTGAGTGTCTGGAACGGATTAATTTTATTTCCAGTATTTCATATGGGGAAAATGGTTTCAAGTTTCGTGAATTTCTACTTTCGGCAGGCTCTCTGGAACGGATTAATCTTGAAACTCGGGGGTCCACTGTACCTCAACACACCCCTCACCTTTTTTCCTTCATCAATTCTATGATCAACCTCATCCTTCATAAATCCATCCGCTGACATGTAAACTCCCAAATATCTGAAAACATTTATTCTTCCGTACTCCTCCTCTCCAATTTGATATCCAATTTTTCTTTATCTAAATCATTTTATGCCCTTATTAACTCACTCTTTTACAACCCCATCTATAAATACATTAAACCACCATGGTGACATTACACATCCCTAAGACCTATTTTTACCAAGTAGTAGTCTCCCTCTCTTCTACACACCCTAACCTGAGCCTCACTATCCTCATAAAAACTCTTTACAGCATTTAGTAACTTACCACCTATTCCATATACTTGCAACATCTGCCACACTGCTCCCTTATCCACTCTACCATATGCCTTTTCTAAATCCATAAATGCAATGAAAACTTCCCTACCTTTATCTAAATACTGTTCACATATATGCTTCAATGTAAACACTTAATCTACCCATCCCCTACCCACTCTAAAACCTCCTTGCTCATCCGCAATCCTACATTCTGTCTTACCTCTAATTCTTTCAATAATAACCCTACCGTACACTTTTCCTGGTATACTCAGTAAACTAATTCCTCTATAATTTTTACAATCTCTTTTGTCCCCCTTCCCTTTATATAAAGGAACTATACATGCTCTCTGCCAATCCCTAGGTACCTTCCCATCTTTCATACATTTATTAAACAAAAATACCAACCACTCTAACACTATATCCCCCCTCGCTTTTAACATTTCTGTCATGATCCCATCAGTTCCAGCTGCTTTACCCCCTTTCATTCTACATAATGCCTCACGCACCTCCCCCATACTTACATCCTGCTCTTCCTCACTTCTAAAAGATGGTATACCTCCCTGGCCAATGCATGAAATTACCGCCTCCCTTTCTTTGTCGACATTTAAAATTTCCTCAATATATTCCCGCCATCTACCCAATACCTCCGTCTCCCCATCTACTAACTCCCCTACTCTGTTTTTAACTGACAAATCCATTCGTTCCCTAGGCTTCCTTAACTTGTTTAACTCATTCCAAAATTTTTTCTTATTTCCATTAAAATTTCTTGACAGTGCCTCTCCCACTCTATCATCTGCTCTCCTTTTGCACTCTCACTCTCACTACTCTCTTCACCTTTCTTTTACTCTCCATATACTCTGCTCTTCTTATAACACTTCTGCTTTGTAAAAACCTCTCATAAGCTACCTTTTTCTCTTTTATCACACCCTTTACTTCATCATTCCACCAATCACTCCTCTTTCCTCCTGCACCCACCCTCCTATAACCACAAACTTCAGCCCCACATTCTAATACTGCATTTTTAAAACTATTCCAACCCTCTTCAACCCCCCCTCACTACTCATTCTTGCACTAGCCCACCTTTCTGTCAATAGTTGCTTATATCTCTTCCCTTAGTTTATACACTTTCACCTCTCTCTTATTTGTTGTTGCCATTTTCCTCTTGTCCCACATACCTCTTACTCTAACTGTAGCTACAACTAAGTAATGATCCGATATA